GGTGCATGAAAGAATGTAATTATTAGAAAACGAAATAAGAAGTTTTGCCTAAACCATACAAAAGAGTTAAATAGCATTCATATGAATATCAAAGTAACACCATATTAAATTAAATTAAATATTGTCTAGAAGAAACCGAGTCAACAGATATCTATATAAATCATTCAAGGCCAAAATTAAAATAAGTAATAAATATGTTTTTCCTATACATACAGTTAGAATCAGAAAACTCTTGAATTGAAGTACGAATTTTAGACTCAAGTTATGGTTTAAAATAGTTAAATGAACATGAAACACAGCAATTTTGTGTTGTAAACACTTAAAAAGTGATTTGATAAGTTACTAGTAAGACTATTTGCTTTGTACACCAAAGTAATACTTTTATATAGTCTTCTTATTCCAAAGTTGTCTTGTTCTCACTGTATACAAATATAAATTTCAACAGTTTTCCTAGAAATTTAGTAAATTCAAGATTTTTTCTTATGATTTATTTTAATTGAAAAAAAGATGGAAGCTCTTTGAAAATTCGACACGTATTTTGATAGCTGAGATTCAAGATCAAACCACTGGAGAAATATTTAGTATTTACAGGTTTGGCTATAGCAACAACAACAAAAATTGAGAGAAAGAAATATAACGTTTTTTATATTAAAGGCCTGGAAAATATGAAGAGGAAATTGTCCAGGTATAAATATTATGACACAAAAATATATTTCTACATAAATTATCTTTTTGCTGGAATTTATCTTAAATCCCTTTTCAAGGACTCGCTGGATTAAAAATATTAAGAAATGTACAATACTAAAAATTCTATTTAAACTTTTAATTGTGGCTTTATCTGTGAGCATCTTCTCTTTGTACAGTATAAAACAAAAACAAAAAAAGTTTGAGTCACGGAAGTTCGTAGTAAAATTTTCACTCCACTGGAGACCACCGGAATTCATTTTCACTGGAGGGGTTTAAAAAAATTCTTTTTACAATTTGAATCTTTACGCAGGGTGATTTACATTCCACTGGAGGGATTCAGTTATCTTTCCTGTGGGTTTATAATTCCACTGGAGGGATTCAGTTATCCGTCCTAGGGGTTTATAATTCCACTGGAGGGATTCAGTTATCTTTCCTGTGGGTTTATAATTCCACTGGAGTACAAACAAACAAACAGACAAGCCAAATTTATATACAGATTTCATTCACTAGATTAAGATAAAAGGCAGCTGAGAGCAGTTGAGGAATTAACACCTCTTCTCTCTGAGAGAAAACATGCAAAATGCTTGAGTATTTATGGACCAGGGCCAAATCCCTTGTTTGATGTTGTTTGTCCAAAGTCTACCACAGTCAACGAAAATGGGTTTTCACCCTTTGATACTGGTGGATGTCAAAGTCTACGCATGTCAAACCCTTTGCTAATAGTAGATTTCAAAGTTTGCTACAGTCAACGATAATGGGTTTAAACACTTTGCTCATGTTGGGTGTCAGTTTCAACCACAGTCAACGAGAATGTGTATACACCTTTTACTAATGGTGAATGTCAAAGTATACCACAGTAAACGAGAATGGGTTCAAACCCTTTTCTTATGTTGGGTGTTAAAGTCTACTACAATCAACGAGAATTGGTGTTCACCCTTTGCTAATGGTGGCTGTGAAAGTCTACTAAAAACATCGAGAATTGGTTTACAGTTTTTAGTGTGAAAAAGTCTATATGCATTTAGAATGACTATTAATGAATAATTGCTTTTGTTTATACATTTTAAATCTTTCTGATATTTGATATTTTACTGAATCAACAAGTTTAATTACAATGAATTTACTCCTGAAAATGTTTTGATTTGTTGAAAAAGCTTAATACTTTGAGACAGGATGTTTATGAAATTAGAAAATAAACTTGTAGAATTCATTTATTTGACCTATCTAAGAATTTTTTTGTTGTTTATTATAGTATCTACACCATATTATTTTAGTTTATATTTGTGTGCAAAAATAAATATTAATGCCCAAAATATTAAAATTAAGTTAAGAATTGATTTTCACAACAATATGAGATAAAGCCAAGTAAAATGGCCTGATTTAACAATTGATATTTATAACGCTCACAGCTTTTAAAACACATTTTTACTTCATTTCATTTTTTTACCATATCTATTTATATCTATTTATTACATTAGGAAAAACAAAATGAAAGAATTTCTTGGTGCTCTGTTTATGTTTGTAGCAGGTAATTCTTGTAAAAATAAACAAACCAAACAAGAAAAATAATCTAACTCTGTTGATATTTTTTAAAGATTGGTTCTCCTTTGTGCTGTTTGTGCTGGTCTCCTAGCGATGGTTCTGTTATCAAAATAGTTTCACTCACTTTACATTTAGATATATAAAACATCATTTATCTTATCTTTAAGAGACCCCGATCCCAAAGGTTTACAAGCATTTCAACTTAGTTTCATTTGTTTCCAAATGTTTTAATTATGTCATCTAACCCATTTAGCGTATGATTTAACCTAAGAACTTCTTTTTATTGTCCAAACATTGGAGTTTATAATCCGGACAAGGTATAGTTTATTATCAAAACCATGAAGTTTATTATATGAACCTAGGGGTCTATCACACAAACAATAAATTCATTATCTGAACCGTGGAATTTTTATCAGATCAACGGATCATAATGGATATCATCTGGACCATGGATGTATTATCTGAAGCATCAAGTTTTTCATCTGAATCATACATATATGATCCATGAATCCTTAATATAACAGCACTACCACGGATATATCATCTTAACCATGGGAATAATGAATATTATATTTAAACTATAGGATATAATACAACCAGCTAACCATGACTCTTAACCATTTAATTTATCATCTGAACCAAAGAAATGACCTCTAAATCGCGAATTTATCAATTTAACTACGGACTACAAAGTTTATCATTTGAACCATAGATATAAAATTTGAGTCATGAATTTAACATTTAAACCCCAGAGTTTATCATTTGAACCAGAGATTGTATCATCTGGTCTATAATCCCTCGATCCTAATGACTGATTGGATTCTTCTTTCATGTTTCGTGTACTTAGAAAAGTTAAAGCTGCAGAAATACAAAAAATCCAGTTTTTTTTAAGTAACTCAGTCAATCAGTTACTTTAGCACTAGATCAGATATTGCATTAGTTTAGGTGTGTAAAAAATGTTGGCTCTTAAGGACTTGATTCTTTGCCACAAACTCTGATCTTCTAATCCTTATATCTTTGCAACCAATGTAGTATAACTTTAATATTTCAATTTATGAGTTCTATTTGGTAAAATAATCTAGGTTTGAAATATCAAAGGTTTACACTATTAGGTTGCAAAGATATATGAATTTGAAATTTGTTGTTTGTGGCAAAGATTCATTTCCTTTGCATATAACTCTTAATTTTACGTCTTATTTCTTTTTCCAAAATTTAGAGAATTTAAAAATGTAATCCAATGATATTTTTCATTCATTCAAACTTTAAAAAGGATATTTTGAGGAGCAAACTAAATGGAATAAAAACTAAAAATTTGGGATACATGAACCTAAGCTATCACTTTATCTGGAGGGCAGTTAATTTGAATACGACATATACACGGTTTTCACAGATTTCAGATATTGTTTATCGTTTTTTTCACTTTTTTTGGGACACCCTGAAAACAACAAGATAAAGCAAAAAAATTACAAAGTCATGAAGCATTAAAGTTTCCTGGCTAAATAGTGAGTTTCTGAAAGTGGGATGACCATTGCAAGTGCTAATAACGCAAATGAAATGCAAATGCTATACTTTTTTTACAACTACTTTACAGGGAAGTTTAGAGCGCGGCAAGGAATGTTTTGTAGGCAAAATGTTTAACATTTTTTTAATTTTTAGCATTGCTGAGCGGGTGGTTATTTAACATAACTGTTCAAAGTGAATCATAAATCGGTAATGTCGGTCAAAAGGCGGTAAAAGAATATTAATAAAACAAAAACAGTTTGTCAAAAAGGCGCGAAAAATGCACATGCTGTGGCCCTGTGGGATTAGATGTGGGAGCCAAACAAAGAACCGAACGGAGCCAAACTTTTGCACATACCTACAGTGAAATTTGATAACCAGAATTTAGGAAGACGACTTTATAGCGGTACTTAAATGTATTTGATGTTGAAACAAAGCAAATAGGTTTACGAGACAATTATTAAATCACAAATTAATTAAATTGGGCCTGCTCACAATGCAAGATTGCTGTGTCCCATGCTTATTGGTCTATTTAAACTTTAGTCTTAAAGTCGTCTTCCTATTTCAGAGTTTTCTGTTTATGACTGTAAACTTTAGCAATATCCGTAGGCCACTTTTTTGGTTAAAATATTTGAATTAGTTGTAGAGTTATATGAATCAATAGCTAAGTTCATGAATGAACGAATTTATTCTTTTTTATGATTATGACACCCTGTGTAAAAATACGCAAAGCAAATAGCGCCATTTCAAGAAACTTTAAACGATATACTGTTGTTTCAGTATTAAAATTCAGTACGTCACTTTTAAGTTTTAAAGTAAGATCACAAATATCAAACACGAATATCGAGATCATACAAGGCTTTAAGGATACCGTTGTAAATCGGACATGCCATTCTACAAATGTAAGGTCAATTAGAAGTTCCTTTAACTAATTATGAGGTGAAAATGTGCACGTTGTTAATGTGGGCGCAATAAAAAAGGTTTCTACCATCCACTTTCATAATTTGTTATCTGGGTACACAATCACATTGTTAAGAAGTTTTGAAGATGAAGTTGCATATTTTTTTAATCTGGCTATTTATTACCCATATATGAAAAACTGCAAATTTTTCACTCATCAATTTTTATAGATGAATGTTTTTCAAATCTAGAACTGTAATAATTCTTAGTACAATCATTTTTTATTCTGATTTAAATCTACATACAATAAGTTTTGATTTTATTATAAATATTTACAATTATGTTAATTAATATTTCAACAACATCTATGTATAACAATTATATATTAATAAACTTAAAAGGTAAATTTGTGTTTTTTATTAGAATCAGCATTATTCAATTTTAAGGTCGGAGTATCAATTGTTAGAAACTATATCTTGCTTTGGTTCCAGAATTCTCAAAAATGTTAAATGATATTTTCCACCGTTGAATATATATTTTTGACGTGTCAGACTTCTTAACTATTTGTGAGGAAATCTCAATGTTATAATGATAACATAATAAACATTTAATATATTAAAATTAAATAAGAAAATTATCAACAGTATCAATATTGAATGACTTTAAGGATTAGTGCTGCAAATTGATAACTATAGATCATCTGCATCAGCTCGCTGAAAGTTGTTTATCAATATTTTCAACATAAAGTAAATTTGAGACAGTAAATATAGCGCTAATAATTCAAAGACAAAATAACAATGTTTTGAGTCATTGATTAAATATGATTACAAATTTCTCGTTCTATGCCTTTCACATGTGATTAACAAGCGCAGTTTCCCTTAGATGCTATAAACATTAAAAATCTATTGATCATAGAAAACATGACCATTTTCATCCAACAAATAAAAACATTTAAACATCCCTAAAATCCCTCGAAAAATGTTAACAATTAGAAAGGTACCAATCTTGCCGTAACTTCTCTTTGGCCCTAAATACAAACATATTAAATTGGGTATAATTATTGTTTGTTCGGAAAAATACAAAAGTTATATAGAAATGACTAGAATTCTTTTAGGTTTAAAACTACGTTATAAAAATAGACGATTTTTTTCCCCAGGAGAAATTATGTTATTTATTTAATTTAATTTACTCCAACTTCCAACAAATACAATTAATTTTAGATATGTAAAAAAACATTACATTTGATTAAATGCCATACCTGATCTTTTACACTTTTCTATCAAGTGATCCATTGCACTTCATGTCTTCACTAAAAAGTAATCGAATTAACCGTTTGTACGTAAAATGATTCAAAAATAAGATACCTGACTTTTTCTTTTTGGTCTTGTCTTTTCATCATAACCTATCAAAATCATAGAAGTATAAAAAGATCATGGTGGTTATTTTGGCTTTCAAATGTAACTAAACTTCAACCATTTTTTCATAAAACAATATAAAAAAATTGAAATTCATTATTTTTTTCATAACATTTAAAAAAATAAAAGAATGTGTTTTTAAACACAAGAAAAAAATATAAATATACAGTTAAACCTAAATATAGAATACATCGAAAGAATTTATCAGATGTCGCCTTGGGTTTAGCCGCTGAGAATTTTATAACTAGAAGCATAGTATCCTTAATGTTGTAAAAAGTAACTCTCGGATCATAATAACTATGTATAACACTGTTATTTTGGTTCGCAGTGTTATAAATTTTTGGACGAAAAATTTAGAAAAGAACCTGTCAAATNAAAATACAGGGGGGGGTCAAATTGACCCCCCCCCCCAGCAGGAATAGGGTTAATAAATAATGCCGCCATAAAATAACCTTTAAAACATATTCGAATTATACCTCTTTATTATTTTACAAATCAATATGTTTAATAGTCCATCACAAGGTCATTGAAATTAAAAAGAGTAATTGATTATTTACCTCGTTTCTCCAAAGCCTGTTCTTATAGTTGTTGGAGAAACTAAAAAAAGTAGTTTGATCTTTAGTAATTAGATTGATTTCCTAAACTGACCAAAACTGAAGCAGAATATAAGGATTTTAGTATTTACAAACAAATGATTTAGGTAATGCTAATGATGAAAGAATATGATTCTTACAAATACCTTTATAAAACAAAGAAACATGCCTGGACAGTGGACACTGCACAATATACATACTCATGAGAATGTATAACAGAAAGCTTAGCGTAATATATAAAGCTATGCCAAAAGTAACAACAAAGTAAAGGACCACTTTTTTAGAATTATACAGAATTACAGAAACGATTGTTAAAGGCGAGATTGAAACTAAACCATACATATTTAGTTAACATTTAAAAATAATCACATTTTTGTCTGCAAGAGAAAGACAAAGAAAATAAGTCTGAATAAAAAACTTTACTTTAAAAATTGACACCAATGTTTCTTCTTATCAGATCCAATCAAATATTTCCAACTGCCGGGAGATTTCTTTCTTGGAATTATTTTTTCTTCAGTATGAAATATAAGACTGCCATGTTTTGTAAGGAAACTAATTCGATTGTTTGTTAAAAATGAAAGGAGGGAAATCTATACCTATCAAATATTTCTTTAAATTAGTTTTTATTTTATCTGATGCGTTTGTAAACTGAAAGGAACAGAGTTTTTGCCACAAAGTCAAATTTTCTAATCCTTATATCTTCGCAACCATATGGTGCAATCCTTTCAAACGTAAAATATCTGATCTAACAGAATCCATATTTTATAAAATATCAAAGGTCTATGACATTGCGTAAGAAAGATATAGGGATTGAACAATTAGAGTTTGTCACAAAACTCAGTTCCTTTCTGGTTACAAACGCATAAGATAATAAATACTGATACAGATAATAAGGAAATATTTTTAGGTATCATAAAATCGATTCCCTTTAAATCAAAAATCCAAAATGTTTGATTTAGCTGTCTGACAAGAAATTACATCAAAAAACACTCAGAAAATAATGAACTAATTTTTTAATAACTTTTCTATGCAGTTAAACTTAATGTCTAAATGTCGTTTGCAAGATTATTTAGAATATACATTATAAAGAGAACAATATAAATTCAGTAGCATAGTAAGCCAATAGTCCTCTTGCTCCACTTGGATTCTTGGGCAAAGGTTTAAATAAGACGGGGTAGGTACAAATTTGCTTGCCCCATCTAAAGGTGGTTGTTTTCCCACAAAAAAATAAAGGAGTTCAACTTTTTTTAAATTAAGCTAATTTTAATAGTCTTATCTATAAATAAGTTTTGGTGTAACGTTTTCGTTTATATTCGATGTCAGACATATCGGATTTTTGACTCACCAGTAAACGGTTTAAAATCAACATAACCGCTTTCATTTTCATAAAAACTCCCTTCAAGAATTTCAGAAGATTCAGCTTTCTTGAAAGTCAGAAGCTAGAATATTTCCCCCTAAGCCTTGTTTCTTAATCTGTTTCATTTCCTTATTAAATATAAGTATATCTTTTCTAACTAAAAATTCTTTAAATCATTAAAGGGGCTGTTGACGTAATTTCAAGTGATGGAGTGGCCTGTCCGATTAACAACGGCACCTTTAGAGACTTTGTTTTATAAAGAATGCATATCCAGCATCTTCTCTTTTTAATTAATTATCTTAATCTGCTCATTGGAGGAAATTGTCCGAATAGAACACTTTTTATTATACGTCTTTTACTTTGTTGATCAGAAAAAGGTTTAAAGTTATAATTATGAATCTGACATGCACCTTTTTTAATTGAAGGTCACTAAAAATATTTAGTACAGTCCCTTCAAGTCAAAATCTTAGCAGTTATCTGGAAGTGAAAAGTGAAGAGTTGTAATAAAATCCTTGACAGTAAATAGCATTGTTAGGCCTAAAACGCGGTTAAAAATTTAAACAGAAATTTTAAAAGTTTTGTAAAGTTGATGCTAATTAAAACTTTTAAAAGTTTCATAGCTTTGTCTTGATACCAGCATTGTGTAATATGTACAGCTTTTGTATATTTACTAAATATATTCAAGTTTTTCCAATGCTGGTATATTTTACAGAGTGCATTATACAATAAGTATTTAATTTGAGAAAATAAAGACTGACTCTCAGAAAAATGTATATAAAGTAGCATTGAAAAAAATGTAAAGACAAAACAACAATTTTGACATTCCAAAGATGGCAATGCCATTTTCACAACAGTACCCCTTCATCTAATTAAATAAAAACTAAGTATTTATACTTATAATTGTGGTGACAAAAGTGACTTGCACATTTGTCTACAAGAAAATATAAAGAAATTATCAGAATCAAACACCCTAGAAAAGACTACATTAGCCTCCAGATTTTTGATCAGATAAAGATTTCAAGAGAATCGGGCATTGCCATCTTTGCATGGAGAGTCATTGGAAATTCGCTTGCAGTCCCTTTTAGTGTTACCTGAGTCCGAATTTTATGAATTTGAGCCACGTCTCAAATCCACCAAAACCGGTTTCAATTGAGCGCCGGCTTAAATCTTGAAACATAGAATACTGTGGGACTTGAAACATTGAATACTGTGGAACCAATTATATTTCAGCCGCGTCTCAAATTTAAGCCACGGCTCAAATTCTTTAAATTCGGCCTGAGATAACTTGAAAGATTCATGAGAAAAAACGTAAAAATTTCAAAAGAAATCGGGTCAAGCAATATTTTATATTAAATTTTAAGGTGTAAAGCACTATTTACCCATTTTCGATGACAGCCTTGAATATATGTATATTAGCGAAGTAAGACAATGGACATAATAATTGAAAGCGATGATAACTTAAGCATATGTACAATTTACTTTATTTAAACATACAGTATTAAAAATACTAAAGGAAAGAAGGGATTAATTTGGAATTTAGAGGATTTTAGAAGTAGTTGTAAGATAAAAGTCTTTCTAAGTCCGAAAGTTTTCTTTAATAACTCGTCAAAACAGAATGAATTCCTTCCTTTCCTTTTAACTTTTGTCAAGGTTGATTGAATCTGTAAAAGCTGGTTGTTAATGGTAGAAACTAATATTGGCATGCTAGAGCTTGTATTGACCAATAACAATGAGAAGTAATGAGAAGTTTCAATTTTATACAGTTTCAGCAAAGATGTCGAAGCTTTGTTATGTACAGTTAAATTTAAAGCATAGTTTGAATTCAAGCTTGACAAAACGATTTATAAGCCTGCATCAGTTGAGTACAGTCGATTGAATGCAAATTCAAGTAAGGGCCGGAAAGAAACTTCAAGCATAAAATATTTAACTATTACAAATAATGATCCTTTTTTTAGTTTGAAAAGATTCTTTCCTACCCAATTTACCACTTTAAAGTCACTTACTCGGTAAATCTAGAAATAAAAAGACGCATTATACATTATCATTCTCTTACTATTCTTCAATCTTCAAATAGACAGCTTTACTTTATTCTAATCTTATACAGTTACTTCCCTTTCTAATTTCTTTTCTTTATAATCATTATCTATTTTCGTAAAAACAAATGTTTGTGATTTAAAAAATAGTGTGTATAAAACGCTAAAGATGAAAAACGAAAATCACATTGACTATTTCTTGCTTTTTAGCGCTATTTTTGGTTGTTGCAAAAATTTGATTCCTTTAATTATCTTACTTTTAAACCACTCTCTTATTCAGTTTCATGTTTTGTGAGACTCACGCTTTGGAAAACTCATTAACAGAAATTACAGTTTTGCAAACAAACGATTCCCTTGATAATTCATGTTTATGCACAAGATGAAGTCAGTTCTTGAAGATCAAACAAATAGAAATTAGAACATTTCATGCATTTTTATTATAATAAAAGATTGTCATTTCTGCATGGATGGACCTATGTATTGGTTTATTCTATATGTATAAATAAAGTAGAAATATCTGTTTGTCTATTTGGATGTTAGACGGATTCGCCTCAAATTTTGATTGGGGAGCTCAGTGGAACCACGGAAAAGGTTTTAGTAGTGTCTAGAAATTTAAAGTCGAGTGGGTATAGTAAATTATTATAAAATTACAATTCCAAAATATCAATATGATTTAAAGGGAGTGAAAGGCAATGTATGGTAGTTGAACTGGATATTTATAGTGCAGTGGAGAAATTTTTTAAGATTCCTTTGAGACATATAATCCGTTTTAATGTTACTGAGTTTGAGCGCAAAGTTGTCATTCAAAATCAACAATTTGGGTGATTACATTTTGAGAATCGAGTTTTTAAAAATTATTAGATAACGACGACGAAAATGTATCAAAAATTCTACAGTAAACTTTTTAGATGTTTAAGAACATATTTCTCAATATGAATTTGTTAATAAATCAATGCTGTTAAATTAAATTATTTCTTTTTAATCAAAACATTGGATTTATTTTTTTTTACGAATTTGTTCGCAGATTTATTAAAATTATTCAAATGTCGTCTTTTCAATAAAAATTCTAGAAAATATAAAGAAAATTTTTGTGAACAATGGGACATGACAAAACCAATATTTGAAAAGATTAATTATTTTCGATGGTTAAATGTCTCAAATGAACCCTAAAAAATGTCTCCACAATACAACATTCTCAGTTCAATTACCATACATTGCGGGTCACTCCCATTAAAGAAAATTGAGAAACTACCGTTAAATAAATAGTTTTATTTTGAAAATAACCAATTGGAATGATGTGATTTTTAACTTTCTTACATTCTACAATTTGTTTTCAGTTGAGTTGTTTCAGCTTAGTTAGGTTGTTTAAAGTTAAGATAGTATTTTAGTTTGTTTCAGCTTATCTCAATCAGGAAAGTTTACTGTACAGTTTATATGTGCACTGTATATAAAGTAACTATCAATTTCCACATCTGGTAGTATGCCTCTGTTAAGAAAAGCAGATGTAAACACTTCAAACTCTGAATTCAAATTCTTAAGTTTTGTAATATTTTTACAGTTATTTTTAAAGAAATACTCAACATTCAAAATTCTTTTGTAAAATGTCCACTTATTTACCACATAGTGTACAGTGTACAATAATACACTCTTCTAGCAGACAATCATTTCCAGAGTAACAACATATTTCAATAAAAGAGTTAATGATTTTTCCACCAAAGACAAATTCATCAGTCAAAAATTTTATTTTATTTTATCGGTAAAACGAGGTCCAAGAATTTTCATTGTAGATTTTTTTTTATCGGTAAAACAAGGTCCAAGAAAGTTTTTAAATCTTCTTTTTTGGCTTTTCTTTTTGATCCTACAGAATACCTAAAAAATGACCAAATGGTTTTAAAAATATACCTGTTGACCACAATAGGCACTGGGAGGGCTAGAATAAAAACCCCAAGCAGTGCACAGAACCCACCTATGAGCTGAAAATATTTCAGTTTCAAACGTCACATATGATATGTCAATTGAAAATGAAAAAAATATAAATATAAGTGAGGAAAATTTTTCCGAAAGGCTTCAATAACTCGCCATTAACCTTCTAATCCCTATATCTTTGCTATCAGATAAATGTGTAAATCTTTAATGGTTCGAATTTTGACTATTTGATCTAACATAAATCTTAGATTGAGATATCAAAGCTCAACGGTATAAGCTTGCCAAGATATAAAGAATAGAAAGATAGAAAATGGTTTAAGTAATTAGTTTCTTTATATATATCCTATTACGTTATGTTCAATTTCGGCAACAGTAGCTGAACCTTAGTCTTACCCAAAGGCGCTTTGCATAAAGATAATGCATTAGAAATATATCCAACTATTGCATTTGCATATGCACTGTACATCTGTTTTTTATGTTTTTAACAATTTTTTTAATACCAAAATGTGTATAGTTTATGTAAATTTTCTATTGCGCTATCTTTATTATTAGCTATGTCTTTGGTTAAACCTAATACAACTGTGTTTTGCTATTGGTTTAATCAAATCACAGGTTAAACAATAAAATTTTGTTTTTATTTAATTTTAAGACCTTTCATTTCACAAGAAACCTCGACGTAAATATTTTAACCTTTCCCGCAGCAGTTGTTGGAGCCAGAGATCCGCTGCCAACTGTAGTAAGCACCATGAGCCCCCACCAGAAGCTGTCAAGGAAACTCCACTTAGCCTTTGCGTCCTTTTCCGCGAAGTAGATGAGGCTACAAATACGAAATTAGATATATATTATAGTTTTTGAACCATCCCCCTCCCGGCCTGGCTATTTTTAGAAATATACTTTAGAATAAGATCTTTTTCAATTGAAAGTTGGGAAATCAGTTTTTATTAAAACCGGTTTTAAGTTTTAAGTTTCAGCAATTTTACTTTAGATACTTTATCTAGATTTAGTACCCCGTCCAACTATATTAAAACGTAAGTATCTCATATATTCTACATCGCAGAATAATAATGAGAATATAGCCGAGAATGATATATATGTTCCGCATTCAGTTCTTGAATACAAAACTAAGAAGTTCTGCTCCCAACACATGCTGATTAATTAATTACTGTACAAAATTTTAAAATTTATTAATTTCTTTCTTGAAGAGAATTCTAATACTTTCTCTGACAAACTAAAAAGGACTAAATGGTTACAAACAAATGAAAACTAATTGTGAACCCTATTTCAAAACTATTTAACCGAAAGTGCATCAAATGGTTTCTTTAAGTTGTTGCTCTGACTTTAAAAAAAAATATTTAAAACCGGGGTGACTATATACTTTTTAAATACAGGGCCTGACCCAAATACCGGTGTCGGCGTTTTTGAACCTCTTTAATATTTTCAATTGACTCAAGAAAGAGCTCTAATGTATAGTTTTAAATATATTTCACGCGCAAGTATGAACAAAAAAATTCATCCGGTTAAATATTTGAAATTAATAAGATTTTTGTTCTTTTAAATAGCTCTAAAAAAAGAGGAATTATTATTTAACCCTATCCCTGCTGGGGTACTTGAAAACCAGGATATGCTGGGGGGGGTCAATTTCCCCCCCCCCTCTAAATCCCATGTTTTATGTCACAATCTGACAAATGATACATCATTAGAAATCTCTTGTGCTCTACTTTTAGAATCTGCAAAAAAATTTGCAAATTTGCAAAAATTGAATTTTTTATTGCAAAATCCAGTTATATAGTAAAAATGTTTGCAAAAAAAAATTTGTCCAAAAAATGAAAAATTATACATTTTTAAAAAACCCTTGACCATGCCATTTCAAATATGCAAAAATTTTTGCAAAATTTTAAATAACCTGATTTTTAATCAAGAAAAACTAAAAATTTGAAAATTTTCTTTGACAGGTTGTTTGCAAAAAAATTGCACTTTTTTTTTGCAAAACTTAAACAATCCGTTTCCTTATGTCATAGGCTTTCCAAAAAGCTAAATTTGATCAAAATCTGACAAGAGAAAGTGTGTTAAAACAAAGATTTAGTTTGTTACAGGGAAAAGCAGTCATTCAGGCAGTGTGCCTGAGGACTCAGGCAGTTAGTATTAAAGCCCGGTTTTAGGCCTAAAGGGAGGGCTTTGGGTATGTAAGAAAAGTCAGAAAATTCCAACAGCCTCAGACCAATACTTTTTGAGTTATGTCAAAAATACTACAGGGGGGGCAGGAATAGGGTTTAAACAAATAAGATTCCAATCTTACAAGAATTTGCTTTAGTTTGACGTAAAGCTAAAATGAAAGAATACCTAGATACAGTGAGAACAGAAACCCAAACCAGAATCATGAGCAGACCAAGTTCCTAAAAATTTGAATGATTTTGATTTTTTAAATATAACTTCATTTAGTATGCAAATACTATTCTAATGTCAGCTTTGTGTAGAAGAGGTGGGGGGAAGAAAGCACACATATTGAAAATGTATTTTTTTATTGATAGTAAATTATTCAAAGATGCTTTTTTTTAAGAAATAGAATTTATAATTCACATTATTTTATGTAAATTCCCAGTGGTACTTTTTCCAGGTTTTTATTGGTATTTTTATTATCTTACATTGTGTGTAATAAGCGTTATAAAAATTCTATTGTATGAAAGACAAGAATTCAATTGTATGAGAAAAATGTTAAAATTATTATTTTATTAGCTTCTTTAACTATCAAACACTTTTTAGGATCTTCTTTATATTTTCCGCTGTAATCTACTAAACAAGAAGAAATTTGTTTGTATGTGAAGTTTTAGAAATTTATGTTTGTATTTCAAAGCGAAATACCATCATTTGACTAATCAATTTCAATAAGATGTTATACCTTGTATGCTTGTTGAAGGGTAGACAGCAAACTCTGGAGGCCAGCAAAGTGCCGAACCAACTTAAAAATTTCTTTTTTTTGTGATAAATGTTTAAAATACAAAAAAAACAATGAGTTAATTTTCATATTTTTTTTCAAATTAATAATATCAAAGTATTTCTTTTCATTATTTGATAGTGTTTATGAAAGGAATTGAGTTTTTGCCACAAACTCTGATTTTCTAATTCCTATAACTTTGCAACCCGTTTTCCTAGACCTTTGATATTTCAAACTATTAGTTCTCTTAGATCAAATTGTCTAACTTTGAAATGTCAAAGGTTTACATCATCAGGTTACAAAGATATAGGGGTTAGAAAATGTGAGTTTGTGGCAAAAACTCAATTCCTTTCCAATGTTAAAGTAACGAAACGAATAAAAGCTATGGACATACATATATAATATAATTAGCAATTTCAAGTAGACAAGCATTACCTTGAAAACCCTGAGAATCCGCATAACCCTGATAAGTCGAAGAACCTTTCCTGCCCGTCCGATAACCAGCGTATCCTTAAAAGGAGTGGCTGGTTAGGTATGGAGGTTGATCAGAGAGTTTAGTATTATACAGAACATATATAGGGTTCGTTTGATACCTTTCAAACGTTATTCTGGAGGATAAGTACAAAGAAAGAGATCTGCTCTTTAAAAATCATGAAGGTAGTCCATTGGAGGCACGCTCTCAAGAACCGATTTTTTTTAATGATGTCACTCAAAAAAGATGTAACAACACTTCTTGTATAACCTAATGCTTATCATCATTAATAGGTTTTATTTCTATTCTATTCAGTCATCTGTTTCTGTAAAGTTTGAAATTCGCAAAGGCGATATTTGAAGAACTCAGAAAACAAATTTGTAAAGAATAATGAATTCAATATAATGACGATAAAGATTAAATAATTATAGATTATGTATTCTATTATTAGTTTCATAATTTTCTTTTAAGAAAGTTGTTCCTGAAAAAACTAGTTTATGGAAGAATTATTGTTACGGTTTTCAATCGGGTTATTAAATAATTTCAAAAATCGATTCTTGAGAGCAAGCCTCCAAAATGGACCATCCTCGTGAATGTTAAAGATCGAGTTTGCGCTCTTAACAAGCAATTATACACCGAAAAACGTTTTTAGGTATCAATACTATAATACTGAACTACCATACCTTTAAAGGGAGTGTAAACGCAATTTCGAGTGACCCTTTATTTTAATAGTGGCATATCTGATTCAAAACAGTACCCTTAGAACCTTTTTTGTTGTTGCAAAAATCAGAATTTATAGATATTTTTCTATTTTAAAAATTGTTAGGATTCAACAGATTTCTTGACGGAAAGACGACGATATCCTACAAATCGTTGCTATGAAAAAGTCACTATAAATAAAAGGTCACATGAAATTACTTCAATGAAATTCCTTTAATTGCATAATTTAATTATTACAAATTTACAATCTATTTCAGAAAATGCTTAATGTATTTGGTTTACATCAGGTCCATCAGGTGTACACTGTACATTGCAGTTTTACCAAGGAATTTTTAAGATTTTTTAGTAAAAGATTTAGATTTTATTAAATTTCTATATAGAAATTATAAATACATAAATATAAAAGTTTAATGCATGGCAAAATCAGGTTTTGTCTTTCTTACGACGGGAATCGAGTCTTTTCGACAAACTTAAATTGTCTAATCCCGAAATCTGTGCAGCCTGCTTGTTATTTCAAACTTAATAATTAATAGTTCAAAATATCTAAGATACGATATTGGATTGAAAAATGTAGAGATTAGAAAATCAGAGTTGGTGGCAAAGACGCAATCCTTTTAAATAGTTGTGGTTTAAACACTTATTAGTTGTCACGGAACTTGGGCAGATATATTTTCAGATAAAAAATCTTAAGCAAACGAAAAGAGGAAAGTTTGAAAGGTTTAAGCAAAAAAAAGAGGAAAGTTTGAAAGGTTTAAGCAAAAAAAAGAGGAAAGTTTGAAAGGTTTAAGTCCTTGTCTGACTCATTTTTTGTTTCAAACAGACCAATGCAATTTAAATATTTTTCATAAAAAGTTAGTGGAATTGCAAATCCAATAACAAAAAAAACTATCGCACCTTCTTTTGCCATTTTTAAGATTTTAAAAATCATTTCGAATTTTATTTGTTAAACTTTTAATTCACATGGTGAAGCATTATTCTAGAAGAAATTTCATCCATCAGGGAGACATAACAAAACTTCAGCAGTTTTGAAACTTTTACAAGATCCCCGACTGAATAAAAACTTAAATATACTACAAAGGCAGAGGCTCTCCGGAACTTAGTAAAATAGAGACGTTGGATAGAAGAAAATGCGTAAATTAACCAATTTCTCAATTACACATTTAATTTTCCCATAATTTTAGTTTGTTTCATCTTAAAACTGACCTTGAATATTTATTAGAAAACTAGCTGAATTTCTAGTTACACCCGTCGTTTACCCGCGCTTGGTTTTAAGTGGTACCCGTGCCCGTGAAATTAAAAAAAACTTTATTGTTTTAACCTATGTCAAACCCTGCCAACCTATGGCCGGGTTCCCTAAAATACCTACCAATTTGGTTCAGACGTTTGGCCAGGTATAGCGAACATAAAAACGAGCGTAAAGCTTTATTTAATAGATAATTCAATTTTAATAAAAAAATAGGCACATGAACCCTGAAATGTATAAAGGAATTGAGTCTTTGTCACAAACTCTGATTTTCTAATCACTATATCTTTGGAACCAAATGTTACAGACCTTAGATATTTCAAACTATGAGTTCTGTTGAATCAAATAATCAGAGTTTGAAATATCAAAGGTTTACAACATCGGGTTCTAAAGATATTGGGGTTTAAATATTTGATTTTGTTACAAAAACTCAATTCCTTTACAAACACTTTTCTTGGAAGTTGGGGGGGGGGGGGTGTCAGGAGAAAGTCGGCGGCACTCCTAAGAATTCGTCCAAATATCTTATCAAAGGAAACTTTGTTTTTTCTAAATGTGATTGCTTTTGTATACAAGTTTAGATTTCGTTGTATTCTATCTAGAAACAAATATACCTACTCAAAAATTGCATAACGATTAACATTATTTATTTTCGATGACAAATAAACAGCTCGACCCAGCTAAAGCCAGTTTTCAAATAGAGTATATTTTTTGAGTATATTTTTTACTTCATTTTCTGTATCATCTTGTATACTTTTCGTCTTATCTCACAAAATATGTTAAAAATTTTATCTTTTAAAGAATATGCATAAAATAAGATACATTAAATAAGATTAACAGATAATGAAGTTTGTCTTTCCATCTTCTATCAACTTCTCATGTTGATTAAGAGAGTTTAAACTCATTTCAGGAAAAAGAAGAAATTGAACTTGGAAGCTTCTAGAATAAATTTTAGAACATAACCAAGAAACAAACTAAAATTCTTGCTATGTCACTTTATAGAGCGGGACGGGCAAGTTAAGCTTATATTTTGGTGTAGAACATGAGGAGAATAACAAATATATTTACAATTCTCTCAACAACTGATGTATATATATACTGTATTGTAACTTTATTTATATTATTAGAAATTTCATTTAAAAGTTAGAATATATATGTAAAGATAGACCCTTTGATAAATTGCAGTTTTTGAATTTTCCATATTAGGGACTTTTTGTTACGCATGTGTCATGTTCTCAAATGGCAGCAATTACTTCTAGATTAAATTTTAAGTGACCTTCTATTTGTATAGTGGCATTTACAGCGGTAAACTTAAAAACTTGGCCTTATTTATCTAGCTGAAAATCGAGTTACGACAATATTGAGTGTGCCATATACATTTAAACGCTCCGTGCCATTGGTACCCACATGCACTTAAATTCCAGCTAGAATGAAGCGTTATTTGAGGAAAAAACGCATACAGCCTCTTTAACCGTACCACCGATTATCCCTAGTTAATGTTTTAGAACAAGTTTCATATTATTTCCGAAAAAATGTGTAAATGCAATTTAATGAAACACCCTGGTTTTCAAATTTATAGGAAATATTTGAGATATTCAGATATTGGGTAAACTTGAGATGAGTAGCATTCTTTACATACAGTTTCTTGCTTACTGATTTACATAAACTGGCACATAATACTCATACAGGAACTATTTCTATACTAATTTAGCGGATACATTCAAGTATGAGTGTTAATTTTACGGCGTTTTAGCTCCTTAAATGTGTAAATACTTTCCTGTCCTTAATGATTTTTGTTGGAAACATTATATATGTGACGTGTTTATAGATGTTCGAATCAGAATCAAATTTTTAAGCTCCAATTTATAGTAAAGTTTTAGATCATGATTTAAGAAAAAAATCCCTATCCTTATAGTGTATTAGGCACTAATGTATCGTATTTATAATTAGTTTTTCTTCTATTATATATATACAAATTATGGAGATGAATTATTAATATTAATTATTATTCAGATTGCTTGGTTAATTACAGGTCCTTTCATTTCTATCCTTGTGTTTAATCTCGCATATTCCTATTAATACGGAATATTAACAGGTATACTAGCATTTGGATAAATGAGGATATGTTGAATACTAATTGGAATCTTTTAAGATCCTTTACTTTTCATCTTCATAAAACCTCTTATATTCCGCTCCTTGTTTAAACGTAACCTTAACTTGAAATTCCAAAACTTTTTATAAAAAAGAGGAATTTGAATTTATGCTAATTGATATTATAAAAGGAAAAAATTCTTCCGCTATTTTCAATTTTCTTACAGAATTTTAGGATTTATTTATATATGAATACAATTTTTAAAGATGTTTTAGATCTTGTGAAGGATTTGATTTTTTTTCAACAAACTCAAATTTTCCTTTGCAACCTGATGGTGTAAATCGTTGATATTTCAAACTTTGATTATTTGATGTAACAGAATTCTTAGTGTGAAATATCTAAGGTTTACGAAATTGGGTTGCAAAGATATAGGAATAAGAAAATCAGAGTTTGTTGCACAAAAAATTGTTTTGGACTGACAAACTTTGTTTAACGAATAACAGTTTTAAAATTAAAAAAGGGTTCATTAAAATAATGTAACCGTTTCATTCCATTTAAAGAATATTTCATGAATAAAGAAAAACATTCGTGGTCGTCTTTAAATTTTCCCATCTAGTGGTTTTTGGACAGCCTTAGAGGTCTGTGTACTCATTTTCAACTTTTTTCAAAAGTTGATTTACAAAATTGAACTGTTTTGAATTCTAAATCACTTTATGTCCGGCCTTTCAATCGGAAACTTCGTCTTCTTTAACAAAAGAGTTCTAAACTCTTACTGAAAAAGTTTAAAAGAGACTGTGAGCGTAATTTCAAGTGACTTCAGTGCAAAGTTTGCAATTCCTGATTCATAACAAATATTTGCGATCTTGTTAGCTATCAGTGTCAATACGGACACTAGCAATTAATTGATCAATGCCAAAACCAGGACACGATCCACATGGCTACAATCCCGTGAACTATCAATGCCACTACCACTGGGAGCGAACTTGCTAGCTCTAAATGTCACACAGGGACACAAGCATAGCTATCAAACAAGCTATTATTCGAGCTCTAGATGTCACACAGTGTCACAAGCCTGCTATCAAAGAAGCTATTAGTTAAGCTCAGAATGTCGATGAAAAATCGGAAACGAAACGATCGTTTTTAAAAACGATCGTTTTTTCAAAAAGTTCGTTTTTTAAAAATGGTTGTTTTTAAAACGATCGTTTTTGAAAGCGAACGATTAACAACCCTAATTACAGCACAGCTAGAATAGTCAAAATTTAAGATATACTTCATTATATATATCTGTAGACCATAAACCTACAACCTTTCTCCCTAAAACCCAAACCCTACATTTTTCTCCGACAAACAGACCCAAACTCGTGAAAAGTTAAACAGTTTTTAACATAGTAAATGCTTAAAAGCCATGATTATTGATGTAAACAACAAATCTTTGTAACCCAATGGATATTTATTTTGTAATAGTTGTTTTATTCTGATCACTAGACCCCTCATTTTCTGCTTCTACCAGCAGATAGTAAGAAACTTTAAAAATCAAACATTGTTCACAATTGAATATTTCAACGATTTATTGTGAAACTATACTTATCTTAGGTTAGAAATAAACTTTATTGTGCATTGTCGACTATGGATTAGTAGTTGAGAAAGAGGACATCGACCAGCTTTCGAGCACAATCAACCCTTCAGTGGGATTATCAACCTTGGACCGTTCTCGATCAAGCCTTCAGTGGGATTATCAACCTTAGACCGTTCTCGATCAAGCTTTCAGTGGGATTACCAACCCTTAAGTGGGAGCAATCAACTCTTAAGTGGGATTACCAACCCTTTTAGTGGAATTATTACAACCCTTCAGTGGGATTTTCAACCTTAAAGCAACCTCGATCAACCCTTTAGCCGTCAGGGGTAGCAACCAACCCTTCAGTGGGATTATGAACCCTTCAGTGGGATTATGAACCATTTAGTGGGATTATCAACCCTTCAGTGGGGTTATCAACCTTAGACCTATCTTTGAGCTCACATGATTATGCTAATAATGCTACGTATTTATTTGAAACGCAGCTCAAATGAATAATGGTTTTCTTACGTAGAAGTGTACAAACATAGATAATCAACATTGTACAACGTACTGCAGGTTAACAGAATCTCGTGTTATCCGATATATATCACAAGACTACATAAAAACCTCTGTCAACTAAAGCAAAAAATCTCCATAATAAGATGAGAAAAAAATCCTGCACGTATAGGCTGATCAGTTCCATCCTCAAGAGATAAAAAGCTGTCAAGAAGGATTGAAAAAAAATATAATAAGTCTTGATATCCTAAAGGCATTGTAACATTAATTTAATTATGATCGGATTGTAATCAAGCCGTCTTTGACAGAAAAAGTGTTTGATGTTTGTTTGGGTTTCGACGCTTTTTGCTTAATCTAACAGAGCTATTAAGAGTACGTTGTGAATCAGGCATTTTCATCTATTCATTGAGGTTAAATGTAATTACACTCACAATCCCTTTAACTTTAAATAAAATGAAAGAATTAAATTGTTGTAGTGCATGTTAAAGAATGATTTCCTCCAAGGATTTACTAAAATTTTACACTCAAAACTTTACGCAAAAAAAGACATTCGAAAGAAGCAAAATGGAAAAATGAAAAAGGTCAGGTATTTCTGGATTTTAAAATATAGCTAATTTGGCAGCAAAAATTTAAAAAAATACAAAGTAAGCGATTCTTTGTTTATTTGTTTGTGTAAGTGGGTTTTTTTCTTTCGTATTTTAAATTGCAGCTGCTTAAAAATCAGACTGCAGTTCTGTAAATGAACCGGAACTAGATTCCAGTAATTACAAAGAACTAAAAAAAATATTTGTTTGATAATAAAAAGCTTTTTTTTCATTTCTGAACAAATTTATACAAACTTAAATTGTATATTCTAAAATAATTGACACATTAGATGTAANTTTCTCGAAGAGACCTGTCCCCATCAGCTAATCTATATTATAGTTTATAATTGGATTTACGAAAACAAATAAATAACTCGGATACACACGACAATCCTATATCTATATTATAATTTATTCATGTATTGCAATTAAAAAATATACATCATAAAGATATAGATAGATAGAAAGATAAAAAGATAAATAGAAATAAAAAGATAGAAAGATAGACAGAAAGAAAGATGAATTGCTAGTTAGATAGATAGATAGATAGATAGATAGAAAGATAGATAGATAGATAGATAGATAGAAGGATAGATAGATAGATAGATAGACATGATGATTTTCAGTTTTAAACTTACTCTTACCTTGATACCCTCAACAATGAATCCTACAAAGTATGGTAGGATTGCAAGAAGGTCAACCACGTTCAAGGGTGCACTGAAAAACTTCCACTTCTTAGGGGCGCAGATAAACCTCACAAGGTATTCTAAAATACATCTATATAATAAAACAAGACATTCGTAGGCCCTTCAGCTAGTATTTAATGAGACCAGTGGGGCAATTAACACGTTTGTGAGGGGGGGGGGCGAAATAAAATTTTGAGGGGCTGCAATTTCAGGATTTGAAGTATAAAAACATCATTTTTTAATTAAAAGGGTTGGCTCTGTGATCAATAATATACCAAATTCTTATAATATCCATGACATGTTCTGATCTATGTGTTTAAAAAAATATACTTCCAACAGCTTTAAAATGAACGATGTGAACGAAGCGGCAATTTTCTAGTGTCTTTTCATGTATTTATTAGTGTCTGTTAGTTCCTGGCTTAGTCATATTCACTATGTCCTATAACAGTCTACAGCAATTTGTTTGTAATTCACCCACTAGTTTTGTGTAACCTTAAATGTTATATATATCGTATACTCATGAGAAGTAACATATATACATGTTATTATACTGACTTTGTTTAAGTCGAAAACGAGAAAATAGTTAGAAATTCTATTAGAAATGATGCGCGAAGCGCCAAAGAAAAATGTTAGTATTTTTTTCTTCATTGACAAAATTTGATAAAAGATGGTCCACAATCATAATCATTGATCATGCTGGATTCAAGTGAGGAGGGGGGGG